AGTGGTGTGAGATGAGTGGTGTGAGATGAGTGGTGTGAGAAGGGTGGTGTGAGATGAGTGGTGTGAGATGGGTGGTGTAAGATAGGTGGTGAGATGAGTGGTGCCAGATGAGTGGTGTAAGATGGGTGGTGTAGGATGGGTGGTGTAAGATGGGTGGTGTAAGATAGGTGGTGAGATGAGTGGTGTGAGATGAGTGGTGTGAGATGAGTGGTGTAAGATGGGTGGTGTGAGATGAGGATGGGGGAGGAGGAGGCGGAGGCGGAGGCGGAGCACGGCGGAGCGGTGGGTGCAGAGCGAAAAACAAGAACCCCACATAGTGATGTGGGGAACAAAGCCAAGGTGAACAGGGATGAAATTAAGGCTCAAATGCAAGAACCTAACCAACCCGGACATCAAAGCTTGAAGACGAAGTTGAAATGAATAGTTAATTCCTTTGCTATTGTGCGAGCTGCTTTTCTCTCCCGGCAGTTACCCACTAACATACTACACTCACAGTAAGTTCGCAACCCGCCCCCGACATAGAATGACTACTCATGAGAGCATACCCATTAAAGCATTCCTTTGCATGTGTGATGAGCATACAAAAACAGCGACTGCTTGCATTGAGCGATCCAATAGAATCTTGATTGATTCATTATGTGATTCATTTTGAGTTCACTTGGCGATTGTTTTCAACCGTTTCATCCAGCTTTGGGACGTTCTTTGCCTCATTAGAGGCGACAAGGTTTCAAAGACAAAGAATTCATTCTGCCGCATTTTGGCAGCTTCAAGGCTCCGCAACATCCATGAAGGATGTGAGATCTTCCTGGCTTGAGCATTGCTTGAATGAAGGCTTCCCAAAACGCACAGCAAAAATCGAAAGTGACACAGTTGGCGAAAGAAAAAGCAAGAACTTACCATTTGAGTGAACCAAGCTGCGTCGCTCTCTTTGTTGAAGAGCTCCATGGTCCTATGCCGCAAGGCAATGGTTTTCTTCCGCAGGGTTTCAAAGACGTCAAACGCTTCAGAGGCTTCGTAGAGCTTCTCTTTCACGTCTTCGATCTTCGCCTGCTCTCAGAGTAGTAGAAACAGGACAATGATTAAGAGTTGCTGAAACCATAAGAAAACTTGCGGGCACCAAAATAGTATATTTTTGAACAAACACTTGCAGTCCAGCCTGGAGAATCTCCTCCTTTGTGAGTCTCACTCGTAGCTTCCTCCATGCTCTGCGATTGAACCCAGGCTCAGTACTCGCAAAGGGGCTTGCGCTGTCGCTGAAACGACCATACACCGATTTCAAGAGGTATGCCTTTGAGAAACTGGTGGTGCTGCAGCTGGCCAAGGTGGAATTGGAGGCCACCGGCAGCAGCGGAAGCTTCTTCCGCTGCGTTTTGCTTCGTGCCAGCCTTACAGATGTAGGCTCATCAATCAACTTTGAGACAAACAGAAAACTATGATAGGCAAAAGTAGAAAAACACACACAACGTGGTCCAGCAAAATCCATGCAACTCTTCCAAGCGAGGTGATATTCGCGGAGATACCTTTCGATGCTCTTTCGCACTAGCCTTGGGGGTCTCTGGCTCCTCTCAGAATGGCTTGTCAGGCGTGTCTGGAGTGTGTCTGTGGGGAGAAGCTGGCATCGATCTTCGTTATTGAGTACCAAAGGTTTGGGGCTGTATGCCCAAGTGCCAGCAATGTTGTGCATCACCAGCAACAACAACAGAGTGCTTGAGATGGACAACATTCTCCTTGTGTTAACAAAAGAAACAAACCCTGTCAGGACACCTCTCTCAAGATGGCCAACCCGCAGTCTTTTGACTTGCCTAAAATCAGTTTCTTTCACAGTCTCTGCGATGCTCGGTGCTCCTCGATGTGGACCTCCGACTCCCAAAAGTCCAAGAAGGCCACGTCGTTGAGCGCCACGGCGCCTTGGCCTTCGCAGTCCAAGGTCAAGAAGAGCGCCTTGGCCGTTCAGGTAGGGAAGGAAACAGGGGAAAAACATGAGAAGAGAACGGAGTGATCGAACGTCATGAAGTCGTGTCAAGTGGTGGCTCAGCCGGACGGAAAGCCCCGCAGAGCAGCATTCCTACCCCTAAATCAAAGAACAATACACCAAAACAAATCAAAACAAATCACCTGATGGCAATCTGATTCTGATTCTGCAGAAAGCAGTGTCGCCCGGCTGCCGAGTTGCACGGCAATCGCCTTGAAAGCCATAGAAACGCAGCATCTTGATGAACTCTCGCTGGTTGAAATCTCCGCTGCGGTCCTCGTCCAAAACGCTGAAGGCAGCCCGCACCCCGCCGAACTCCTCGTCTGCCCAGACCTTGAATCTGGAAAGCCTCAGGTGAAGGCAAGAAGGCCTGGGTCTGTTGGGCTTGTCCTACATCTGTGAGACCATTTTCGGTATGAACAGTTTCCTCCAGCAGCCATCAAAAGAAATCCGCCAGTGGCACAGCTGACAAGGTTTTGGGAATTTCAGCAAGCGGGCTCTGCATAGGAGGGTGCATCCAGCTCACCTGAGCACTAAGCTGAAAGATTAAATCCGCTCAGAGTAGTATTCCTCAACCACTTCTTTCGAATTTTTCATCCTTGGGGAGTGCAAAAGCTGCTAGGGGCTCCCGGCATCGCTACTAGGAGCAAGGACGCTACTAGGAGCAAAGGATGAGCAACCAATTTCTCAAGACTATCAGCACTTCTGATCCGTCCGTCTCAGGTCTGGGCCCAAAGAGATGCTTCCACTGATGTCCTCCGCATGTCATGGTGCGTCAGCTGCGTCAATCGAGAAAATCACATGTCTGGGCTTGAAGCCTCCGAAGGGTCCCGAGAGGGGTGGAGTACATTGTCACACACCCACCAACCCCTCTGTCTTGGACTGGTTCTGCATATTTGGCACTAGCACTTTTGCATTCCTGCTTCTTGTCTCTTGGACACAAAGACAAGGACCTAGAGAGACTAGCACTCCGCTAGGCTCTCTCCAGCTTTTCTTGGACCTCTTTGCTTCCGGCCATGCTGGCCTTGTTCCCTCAAGTGTTGGACTTCACAAGGCCTCTTCAACTAAAAAGAAGAACTTCTTTTAAGAAGAGCATTGAGGCATTTCCTTCAAAGTTTTCTTCTTCCGGAGGCATTCCACCAGATCCACATCAACCCTTTTGGACCTGGTCGAAGAAGCGCCAGGCGCCGGGCACATCGCCGGTGAAGGACAGGCGCTTCGCCGAGGCCTCGAACTCCTCCCAACCCACCTGGGCCGAAGGACACGGGGTAAAGTCGACAGCTCATCGGTATGTTGGGGCTATCCGAGGGCCTTTATTTACAACTTGAATACATCACTAATTTAAACACATTTTCCAATACCATACAGAAATAGTTCAAAGTAGACTAAGCTTGCCATTAGTCGAGAAGCATGGAGCATCAACATGCCAGAGAAGCCATCTAAAATGATGCATAGCTACACGGCTTCAAAGTAACCATGAAATAAAGCATTTGGGACACACGCGTGAGCATCGTTTGGAGAAGAATAGCAGGATCAAAACAACAGACACTGGAAGTATCCGGCTTGATGCTGCAACATAGGATATCTCGAGAAGTTCCTGAGAACCTCTCAAAGGTGCAATTGCTGAACACAAAGCAAAGCAAGGCCAGGAGCCCCTAGTAGCGTCCGATCGCTCCTAGTAGCGATGCCCTTTGCTCCTAGTAGGGAAGGGGTTTTCCGCAAGTCTCCCGCAGAACGCCGAGGTGCACAGTTGCTTCCGTCACGGTCTAAAAGGTGACGCCAGGCTTTCAGGATCGTCGGGTAGATTTCCCTCACGCGAAAGCCGACCGACAGAACTGTGGCGGAGGGAGATGATTGCGGGGGGTTAAGATTCATGGCGGGAGAGTTGTCCTACAAACCATTTGGAAAGGACATGAACATCGGTCATCCGTGGGGTCCAAGCAAACATATCCGATGTCAAAGCACTGCTCCAGGTCTTGGTGATGCACTTATCATAGATGCACTTATCATAATTGGCAGCTTCACCTCACCCCCAGAGAGGTTTCTTCTAGGGTCTTGGTGTTCTCAAAGCCGTCGCACGAAAAACAACAAAATTCTTGGCGGGGCACTGTGTGAGGTGCAGTTCTCGAGATCAGTTGAAGATTAGTTTTGGAAATGAAAACATCAGTCTCCTTGTGGAGGAAGCTGTGGTTACAGCGGACAGGTTTCATTTCACGTGAAACTTTCTGCAGGTTTCGAGGATCCAAAGACAACTGCAACAATCCACCCAACAGTCTCTCTATTTCTCGCTGAAGACCAAGGCGCAGCAACGACTTCTTGAAATCCTTTGCAGCTTGAGGATTGGGATCACACGTCAAGTACCTTGCCGCTTCCGCGTCCTAAAAATCATCCCGTATTGCACAAGTCTTGGGCACCATATCATTTTCTTCTGCTTTCTCTTCTGGTGGCATCTTTTTGAGTTCCGGACTGTGGGCACTTCCAAACATCCACAAAATGCAGGTCCTCACACTGTCTCTTGAAGCTGCCGTCAAACCTTCAATGATGACTTGCCCGAGTGAGTTCCTCATTGCCGAGAAAGCGCGGTCCTTGGCCATGAGGAACTTCCTTCCCTCCCAGTCAAGGCCATGGAACAAGCGTTTGTCCACACGAGTGAAGCCTAAGCGCTGACCTCAGAAAACAGCGAAACGACGTCGCTCGAAGAAGCTGCTTTGGATTTGAAGCGGACAAAACAGGGAGGAGAGTGAAGTGGTGACGGAATCTCTGAGGAAAATGCGTGCAACTTGGACTTGGAATGAACAAAACACTTAATATGTAGGGAATGACTCACTTGGATGTTCATAAGTTGAAAGGGTTTGCTCATGCCGCTTGCCTACTCTGCATTGAATCCTCCCTTAAACGACTTTCGCCAGGGTCATCAACCACTTACAGCTCAACATCTAAGAGAGTAGGTGCGGGGGAGCTTCCTTGAAGAAGCAGTTTGTCCCTTCTTTAATTAAGTGAGCCTTTTTAGGAGCGTGCCTACTCCCTTACTCAATCAAGCAAACGCCTACTTGATTAGGTGAGGAGGCAGGGCCGGCCCCGTTTCTGCTCTTTCTGTCCGTGTCACATCGCTCGAGGAAGTCGTCGACGCGGACCTTGTTGATGCGGTGCACGTCGATGGCCCGGAAGAAGCTCTGTGCGTCGCCGAACTTCTCGATGACCTGCTGCTTGAACTTCGCCAACCTAAGTGGCTTTCATGTAAACGAAACGAGTGGGTAAGACTTTGTCGACACTCGTGAAACCTAACGGCTTTCTAAAAAAGCAGAATTCTTGGATTACAGTCCGAAGGTTCGGACGGGAGTTTTGTTAAGGCTATCAGCTTCCCTAAGACTGAAAGGACGAAAGCTTGGACAACAAGCTGCTCCGCACTTCGCACCAAGCTGCTGCTCCGCACTCTTCAGGTCCAACTCTTGCAACGATGTCACGCCGCTGCCGTCCTGCGAGGCCCGCCCAAGTGCCCGATCTGCATGCCAAAATCGTAGATGAGCAGACATGGAGGGGGTGCCGAAGTAGTGAGAATGGAAAGGCAGTGACTTCTACAGCTGAAGTCCAAGATCGTTCCTTTCAGGTGTCCCAAACTCAACCATGTTCATGGTGAGACAAGATGAGACACCTCCCGACACTCCTTGTCCAGACCTTTCCACAACAAACGAGCGTCGCCTTGCCAGCAAAGGTCTTTCACCTCGAGCCGCCAGCAAAGGTCTTACCCAAGGCGAAGGTGACACGTAAGCTTGGACTGGTCACACCAACGCCTGCGACATGTCTCACCAACGCCTTTTCACTTGACCCGCATGCTCATGATCGTGCTGAGCGACCTCCTGCCAATGTTGTTCAGAGTCCAATGATCAGCAGAATGTGGACATGAAATGTGTTGAGGAAGTGCCTTCTAGTGGCATTGTGATTGATGAACCGAAAACAATGAATGACAACGTCATGTGGACATTGTAATCACAATGTGGTTGATGAACCGGCGTTGAACAACTTACTGCGTTGTGACTTGCAGCCTGCTATTACGTCGAGGCCACAGTCACACGCAGGAAGTGCACTCTCCCAACGTGAACCCATCCGACGCACTGCAGTGGACTGTTAGGGTCGTAGGGCAAGGAAGGTAAACCATCTTTGGTGGACCAACACAACACACTGTGGCCGACACCATTCGGGATCTAGCATCCACAGCTATCAGGAGGATCTGTCAGGTTCTGTGGAGAAAAACATGACTGTTCATTCACATAGTGTTGATGGACGAAAGCTTGGCAAAACCACTTTGGCCAAGTGACTGCTCGAAAAAGCTCGTTCTTCTGCATGTACATGCTGTCATCGGCATCAATGGTGCGCCAAGCACGCAAAAGAGTCCCCTCGGCGCTTCTTGTTGAACAAATCGTTTGTTAAGAGTCCCCTCGCACAAATCGTTTGAAACCAAATCAATAGTGAGAGCTATCCCGCGTCCGGTAGGTAGCGTCTTAGTAGCTAGGAGCGAACAAGTTTGTTCCTTACTTAATTAAGTACGTAAGGAACTGAATTAAGGAGGCAGGGCCAGGGGCTGAAAGAACAAAACAAAGAAAGAGAAGCACAAGAGGTTGGACAGTGTTGATGGGTTTTGATCTTTAATTTTCACCTCTCGACTCTACACTCCTCACTCCTCCATCACGACCTCCAAGACAAAGCGCTTTTATTGCTACGAGAAGTAACTGTACTTCACACTGCCTGCGGAGGATCACATCGTGCGTCATATTTGATGGTCTTAGAACTAGATCTGGGATGCGACTTCCCAAGCTTATTTTTCCCACTAAGTTCCAAAGGCGGTGTTCAGGGGTTCAATGGGTTTGATCTTGCTCTTCTTATGGGTCTAAATCGGTTTAAAGAATCTCTTAGGCCAAACTCCACACTTCCTGAGCCAGCTGTTTGATGCCCTGACCCAACAGCGTAGGTCCGAAGGCGAGAAACTGTTGATATGCTGTTGCCAAGGCACAAACTTCTTCTTCAGAAACACCTGGAGACATCCAAAACCGACTTGCTACCTTCGACATTTTTGGGGCTCTTGTAGCTCAATTGGCTTCGTAACCTTCCATGAGGCAAGCCGATGAACTTACTCATGAGACCCAAAACAGAACTCAACACTGCGATATTTTCAATGTTCGCGAGCTGCTTTTGAAGTGAAGACCCGAAGACCTCCAAGTTTTGAGTTAGCCTGAGCTTCTACCAAACTGCTACTGATGCCTTTCTTCAACAAAGGAAGAAGTGCAAGATTTGTTGGAAACTGTCAAGTAGGATAAAGATCAAATCCCGTTTTCGTCGTCTCTGTCGCACACATCCCTTGCAGCGACCCTTTCTTCTTCACGTCCATTCCGCCCACCTTGAAGTTCTTCCGTGCTTGGCTCACCAAATGCCTGGCGTCATCGGGAGGTCTGTAAATTCGTCGCTTCCCTTCATCGTTGTACTGTGTGTCGAGTTTCAGGGCACTCATCGTATGGTGTGGGTTGGTGGATGTTGTTGATCATCATTTGTTGTGGTGTGGAGTCTACGTAGAGCCAGAAAGAAAGCAAACGATGTATCCATGCCGTCCGTCAAAGCAACAACATGTCTCAAGCCCACACTTGGCCCCCCACCTTTTCTTTGCAACTCGCACTTTGAACTTTAAGGCATCTTGCATCCCCTGCGCAAAGAAGGAGGCTCTGGATTGGGATCTTGGTAGTCCCATGAAGCCGCCAAATAGGGTCAAAGATTGTTCGAAAGGAAAGACCAAAGTATCTCAAATCTCTTCTGTTGGACCTTCCTGCAAGTCAAACAACTGAGATCATCCACCAAGCTGCGAGCAGGATTAGTGTGGTTCTGTCTGCCGCATTGTCCCATCCAGCCCCTTCAAATTGTCTACAGCGGACCTTCTGCGCTTTGACATACTTCCTCTTGTCAACCGTGAAGAAGCGCAGGTCCGCGCTCCTCAATTCCTCGGAGAGGAGAAACTGGGACAAAGGACTTTTGAGCTCAGGGTGTTTGTTTTCAGTTTCACACGTGAAAACTTTGAGTCCAACAGTTTGCGCTGGTTTTGACTCGCATCCACAGGGAGGGTTCTCATGCTGATGACGCATCCGAACCATATTTTGCCCTGCAAAACATAACACACCATTCCTTTGTTTGAATTTTCATATCGCGTCTGGGCCCCTCCATTGTGGGTGCTGCGCCTGTTTGTCCTCGAGGTTCAAAGCCACGAAGATCTCCGCCTCGTGGCCGTTCCAGCCCAAGCGCTGCAGATTCGACACGAAGGCCTCGCGGTTCACCAGGCCGTAGTCGCCTAAAGCGAAGACTCGTGATGCTTCGCACCAGGCGAATTCACGCAGATTGAACGAACTTTATCTCCTTCCATGATGCCGGATGTATTGAACAATATTGAACATGAAGAAGCACCACCAGCTCAATTAAACATTACAAAAAGCCGAGAGAGACACCATTCCCCGCTTGGCTAAAGAAACATCACCTAGCCACCGTGCCCAGGGCATGCGAGGCACGTGAGAGCTCACTGATCATGTGCTTCTCATCGCGGAAGCTCTTCACCGACCACATCCGGAAGCCCATCCAAATCCTCGAAGACGGGTCTCATCGGTGGTCTCACCCAAGACCAGAAGTAGCTTGGAGCTTGGACAAGGAAAAAGCAAACGGCAAGAAAAGAAAGTTCATGGGCTCCTTTTTGGTAATAGAGAATGTCCAAGCTATGTACTGTACATACCAAGGTAGTAGCAAGGATAGGCAAGTAGGGAGACGCTCGGTATTTCAGTGAAGGGGCATGTGGTGATTGGAGATCAGTTAACAATGAACTTGTGGCTCTTGGCCGTGACTAGGCTTGTTATATCCAGAAAAGATCGTTCTATTGTCTCTGAATGCTTGGTCAGTATAAAGGAAGAACACCACTTGCAAGAATACCAGTCTTATGACCTCTTTTCCTTTTTTTGACTCGTTGTTGAATTGGCCTTTGTTCTTCCTCAAAGAGCATGACTTAATCGGCCTCCCAAAGGGTCCTTGAGGCGTCTGGGTCGATCTGATCGAAGGTGACCTTGAAGCTAAGCTGACTGCATGAGGAGCATCTATGTGCATGAAGCTCACTGCAAACAACAACTACCAGGGAAAATTCTTTGAGCATCCGTTCTGATGCCCTTTCGGCAGGAGAGAGTAGACAGGTCTTGATGGTGACACATCACTTCACCCGTACAATATCAAAGGAACAGCGATCAAACACACGAATGGATTCGTTTACACATGATGCAAATGTTTGAAGAGGCACTGGAGTTTGATGGTGATAGTATCATGTATCAGGTGCAGATAGATAAAGAGTAAAGACGACAACGACACCGGAACGGATTCCACAAGTACTGCAGACTTCTGAAGATTGAGACGGTGGCCTCATCAATTCTGTCGATGTCGATTCGCAGGAACAGAAGCTCCGGATCCCCTTGCGACACAAGAGGGATGCTGGACATGTTTTTTTGTTTAGTGCATTTAGATACAAACCTTAAACAACAGTCCCCTGACTAAGAAAATGAAGCTTTGCACCACACCCTACTTTCTGCACGACTACATTTCCTTTGCCTTCTTTGATTGTGTGTCAAGCGCAGCTGGATGAGGCATAAATTAAGTGACAAAGTGGAAAACCACCAAAGCCAGAAAGGAATTTCAAGCGACAAATTAAAACATGAAAGTCTCTTCCTAAGTCATGCTTCAGTGCACCACCCTTTTGCCCTTTGAGTGCTTCACCCTCAAACTTCAGCGCACGAAGGCCACTGCAGAATTGTCGGCAATCAATCTGTCGCTCCTCGGAGCTAAGCGCTGTGGCAACGAAACACGACAATAAGCAAGGTTCAAAGAATCTGTGGCAACTTACTACTAGCTTCTTGCTACTGATAGCGATGCACTTGTTACTAGTAGCTAACCGCTTTGGCAAGTAAACTTACCAGGCCGGTCATTGTGGCATTTTCCCCGTCCAGATCAAGCTGAAGAAAGAGACATGAAGCAACGAGCGGTTCACAAAACAGTGGCGCTGCGCTGGCACCGCGAAACAACACACATTCAGAAAGGAGAAAGTAAGGATGCTGGGAAAAAGAGCCATTTGAATAGAAATGTACCAAGGCTCACGGAGTGTTGGGGTATATGATGGTTTTGGCTTCTTGTACGTGGGATTCGTCAGTTCACAGGCTCCCATCGAGGCCACTTTGAGTTGGACACTTCCGCCATGACATGCTTAGTTCCAAAGATCTGCAACAGGTCCATATTTTGCAGATTTTCAGACTTTGATATTCTCCAAGGACCAACACCAACAAGAATACCCATTTTGCACTCAACCAGGCAGGGCCTGCTGCCCCACTACTTTGCACCTGTTCATCTTGGAACTGCATCGAATTTCTTTGGAACAGGGGATGGCAACCACATCTTACCATCTATCACAATCGGCCCGCCAGGTGTTGCCAAGCATCGAACTTTCGATCGAAGTGTTCGACCCAGGTGCGGATGATGTTTCCCGTTCGCTGCAAAGCAAATTTCACCGTTTCCACCGCGCGATCTCGCTCTTTCAGCGCATTTTGGTACTTCGGGTCCTGCAACGGCGAGCCTTTCGTCATCGTCATAATCTTCTTTGGTTAGGCTAAGAGGTAGCTCGACGTGTTTCATAGGCAAACAACATCAATAAGCACCAAATACCAAATGCTTCTGTAGCACCTCACTCAACCAAGAACAATACTCTGACAGGAAAAATCATATAAAGTCGTTGGAAAACCCGCCGTCCAACCCCGTCCTGCGCCGGATTTGCTTTACGAATCTTCGGCATCGGCAGTGCCGAATCGGGGAGCACCGCGAAGTCTTTGACTTGGAGACGAGATCCTCGGACAAGGCGTGGGAAACATCATGCACTCAGCTTTTCAGGCCTCTAGGCTACTCACATCTTGCAAAGTGCAAGGCAAGCACTTTTAGGTAGCCATGACGTTGAAGACTTTTACTTTTCCATGACTTTCTTCTTTGCTGATGACCCCCAGTCTGTGGGGGGATCAACCATGCTTGATCGAGCTGAGTGTCACAAGCCAGCTTCTTTCGAGGATTGGCACGGCATGGCTCGGACATGAAATTCAAGAGCACCACCACTGCAGTTGATGCTGAAACAGGATGATAACCAGTCCCCGTCCAAAGGAATGCTACTTAGCAGTCTGGCAAGACTTTAAGTTTTTTGACTGCTCTGTTTCCTTCAAAGGCTTGAAATTGACTTTCACAAACGGCTTTGCTTCCTCTTTCTGTCTCATTCTTGCCCCCTCTCTTGCCTTTGAGGCAAAGCGCAAAGCATGAAACTCACCTGGTTGACAAACGGGCCAGGAGCCATTTGGATCGATGCCTCATACTACGTACCTTTTCAATCAACCCAAACAAACTGGATTTGTTCATCTCAAAGCTCGGGCGGTCCAAACAAGCTTTCCAAAAATACATCCGAGCAAAACGACTGAAGATCCACCATTTCCAAACACATGTGCCCAGCTTGGCCTGTGTCTAAGGCAGTTTGTGTCAAGGAATGATGACTTGGGAGCTTGCAAAATGATTGGAAACCAAACACGTGTGACTGTTGCATAACTTGTAGGAAGTTAAGATGTCACGAACAAAAGAACAGTGCTATAACGTCCTACAAGTCCTGAGCTTCTTCAGCGATGTTCAGGTAACTTTAGAAGCTGGTATCGCTTCAAATAACACACATTACAGCTTTTCTTTTTCCAAGCCAATGACTTCTTGAAGGTTTGGCCGCTGTTGGCCGACCAGCATCAGTGCCTGCAACAAGCAGTTGATCTTGGGAAGGAGGTGTTTTCTTTCAATACGAGCACAAACAGAGTATCTTTGTTCTTTTTGGAGAATGAAGACAAGGACTCAGAGATGAAGCAAGAATACCAACTGATTATGTTTCGACCCTCCAAGATTGGTCTAGGGCCCAGGCCAAAGCATCGCTCAAAAGCGGTACATAAACGTCCTTGTCAGCCAAATCGTTCTCTGCATGGAGGTTGGGATACCTCAAACATGACAAGCAGAAGATCAGGGTGCAAATCAAACCGTCAACTACGCAGCTGCCCCAAACTCGGCTTGAACGACAGGTAAGAATTGAGAATGGTACATGTTCAATTCGTTTTCAGATTTAATTGGCATCACTGTTGGTACTCTTTGCTTGCTCAACGCTTGATGCCAACGCCTCCACCGCAACTTTTCCAGCGCCTTTGATGCCAAGCTGCATGTTGAATTCAATCAATTTCGCATCTCCATTTCCTGCTCAGTGCTCTTCTGCCACTTGCGTGATTGCGCGATGGCAACAAAATACTCACCTCCTGTTACATGGTTCTCACTGTGCCAACCTGTACCATTCACGACAAATTAGCTACAGAACAGAGCTGGCCTTCGATCACTGCATCCCCACCCACCAGCACATAGCGCGTCGCCGTGCCATGTTGCTTCGCCGTGGCCGCAAGCAGCGGCTGCAGCGCTGGTGCCAGCTGTGCAAGGCGTCGTGCGAGGGCAGCTCGCCAGCGTGGTGCCTGGGAGCAAACGAATGTGGTGCAAGCATCCCGTGACGGACTCCAAGCAGCTCTGCCAGTGACATGTTCTAGCCTCAATTAATTTTGAAGGTTTCAGCCTGAAGACCTT